CTGATGTGGCACACCTGTGAGGTGGGATGGATTATCTCAATATAGCAGATGTGCCCACTACCACATATTTGGACTGATTTGTGACCACTGTTTGGGAGGGATGTTTATATTGTGTATCTGGAATGAATTTTAGGTCTCTACGTCCATCCCATGGGGAATGGGAGCAGTAACAAAGGTGTTGCGTTTATATTTTTGTTGAGTGTATGTAGGAACTCCTGTTTGTAAAAAAACAAAACAAAAAATGTATTCTTATTTGTCTGCCAACATTACATATTGTTACAACTTTGCACCGTCATGCAAGAGGAATAATCAGACACTGGATGCTGCTGACATGTTTGTTGTGAATGAACTCAGTTCTACCACTGCACTTTGTCTGTTTAAACTGATGTGTTAACATTGTCTAACTGCTGCTTCCTCATAGCTCAGCAAACTAGCTGCAGAAGTGACAAACTAACAGTACATGACTAATAGCAAAAATGTATCTACAATATTATATGAATCATCTGATTAAAACAACACACTTCCGCAGCTGATCCGACACATTATTGTGTCCTCAGAAACAATTCCATTTTTTTTTATGTCTATTATGTTTTATTCAACTTCTGTGTTTTATTGAATTTCCATTGTGTTTCATATGCTTCTGTTGCACTTTTCTGTTTTTTTTATTTTTCTATTTGTCTTCTTAAATTTCAGTCTGTTTGACCCTGGCTCCCTTGAAGTCTGGCTCCTCTGAACCAAAATATAAATATATGAAGTGTTACTGAAGACCTCTGCACTGTACTGTATTATATAAAAATAAATATAGGAAATATGTATTAACTATTACCTATTAATATCTATATAGTATTTTATCAAGGGTAAATAATAGATTCGAATAGAATAGATCTTTATTGTCAGTGTTACAAGAATAATGAAACACAGTCTGTCATCTCTATGTTAGCAGCATGTGGATTTTTACATTAAAATTCCTTTAGAATAAGAGAAAAAAAAGACTTAAAGTTTGAGAGGTATCTACAGAGGGAATGTAGGGGCGACCGTGGCTCAGGGGGTTGGGAATCGCATCTGTAACCGGAAGGTCGCCGGTTCGATCCCTGGGCTCTCTGTTCTGGTCGTTGTGTCCTTGGGCAAGACACTTTACCCTACTGCCTACTGGTGTTGGCCAGAGGGGCCGATGGCGCGATATGGCAGCCTCGCTTCTGTCAGTCTGCCCCAGGGCAGCTGTGGCTACAACTGTAGCTGCCTCCACCAGTGTATGAATGTGAGAGTGAATGAATAGTGGTATTGTAAAGCGCTTTGGGTGCCTTGAAAAGCGCTATATAAATCCAATCCATTATTATTATTATTAATGTATGTAACAACATAAGTATCTACACAGATATCTACAAGTTATATATGCCATATAAAGGAACAGGTGCAATATAAGGTGCAATGTGATCAGTGGTAGTGCACTTTGAGTTCTTCACACCAAACTTTTTGCAAACAACATTCCTTCCTCTAGTCTTACTAGTCTAGTCCTAATCGGTAGGACTAGAGGAAGGAATGTTGTCTGTGAAGGTTCTCAGTCATCCAGGTCATCGTAGTCAAAGGAGCTTGCAAAGAAAGGAAGGAATGTTGTTTGCAAAAAAAATTATGAAATTATGTAAAAGTCCATAAATATTAGCACAGTTAATCTTCAATCCGGGTAGAGAGGGGGTGGTGGAAATAATGCACACCACAGTAGAAAAAAACCCAAATCAGTTTCTCACCATCAGCATTTGTGTAGAAGCGTGCACTGAGAACTAAAACAAAGACTGGAATCTCATCAGACAGGTTTATTAAACATTTCCAACTTAGACAAAAGCAGAGATCAGATAATACATTTCTTATTCATAAATGACTTGCCAAACATAATATAGGCATTTACAATCCTGAAAAAATAAATTTCAGAACATGTTCTTGGACATCTTAAATGTTGCAGCTCGTCTAGTCTGATTTGATGCACTGTATTTGTGATCCAGCTGAAATACAGCGAGAATAGTTTAAGAATGTCACTACTGAATTGCATGAAATCTCAGAGTTTTCATTTATTACTTTCATGACTCATTATTGTCATACTTTACCTGGTCCAGCATCTTCAGATCCTCTAACTGTCTCATAAATACAACGATCACCTGCAAGTTAATAACAGTTAACAACATTAAATGATCTAACGTTTAATCATTCTTTAAGAGTTGAATGTGACCGATCAGAGCACGTAAACAGTGTTAGACCTGACCGTGGGAAAGAGCCGAGTACACATGTTGTTGATTTTCTTCCTGGTTGATTGTTTCAGAGAGTGTGAGCCTGAAATAATTAAAATATTTTATTATTAGTAGAACAAAAGTATTTATTATATTACTGCTGTTGATGAGTTTCAACAACTGTCACGTCTGCTGTGAAAACTGCCCAGCGCATCGCCGGAGCACCACTTCCTGCCATAAATGACAACTATAGGAAGCGGTGTCTGAAAAGGGCTGGGAAAATCATCAAAGACCCCAGTCACCCAGCACATGGACTCTTCACCCTCCTGCCCTCTGGGAGGCGCTACAGGAGCCTCCAGACTAAGACCACCAGGTACCGGAACAGCTTCTTCCCCACAGCTGTCAGACTCCTGAACTCTGCCTCCTGACATCTGACCCACATTAAACTCATGGACTGAACATACACACACCCACAATGGACAAAAACAAACAAATGGAAAACTATACCCTAATACACACAAAAATAACATGGACTGAACCACCACTACTGTAAATGCTGTATAGACAATCATTCTGTACAATAGAATAATTATAATTCTACAACTGTTTACAACCGTTTATAACTTGCATAGCTCATATTTCTGTATAGCTTTATATTTCATATTTCGGTGTAGTTTTCATATTTATATCCTGTTCACAGCCTGTACACACTTATAGTTATAGCATATTCATAACATACCCTCATACTGTGTACATTGCAGCATACCCATAATAGATCCATATTTTGTACCCTCATACTTATAATAATATATATCTATATAATATACCGTATAGATATATAGATATATCTATATATCTATATTATTGCTAAAGCACTTTCTGGATGGATGCAAACTGCATTTCGTTGGCTTGTACTTGTGATGTGCAATGACAATAAAGTTGAATTCTGTTACATTCTTACTGTGGAAGGTTAAACATAAAAAGACAAGAGTCATAGAAAAACTACACAGAAACCTGAAACACGAAACCTGGAACTGAGAATGAGGAACTTGAGACCTGGTAAAACCTGGGACTTGGGAAACATGAGTGAGGTAAGCAGAAAGAAAAAAAAAAGGGACTAAATACACAAGAATAATGGGGGGCTTGGAAACAGGAGGGAACAGAGCTCATACTAATCAGAAACAAAGAAACGGGTAGGAAGCAAAACTGGATAAACTAAGGGAAAAACAACTGAATTTTTTATTTCGAGCATGCAAATATAACTGAAACAACAAGAGAAAAGAAGAAAAAAACTTTAAAACCAACAGGTTTAATCAATATCTCTATGTCTACACGATGTGTGTGCTCGAAAAGGAGTAGGATGAAGTTTACACTTTTTCTGTTCCTACTGAGGAACAATCAAAATAAAACAGGAAACATGAGACAAAGCCTGAGACGTGAACAGACATAAGAACATAACTGGGTCGATGTGACACATAGAAAACAAGAGAGGCACAGTAACAAAATCTAAAGACTAGAAATCACAAAATACTAAAAATAACTAAGGGAGGTAGAAATACAGAAAACGAAAACATGAAAAAACACAAATCAAAGAGTATGAAAAAAACAGAAAAAATTTCGTCCCCACACCCAGGACCACGACACTGACCTTTTGTGACATAGACCTGAAAAAAAAGTAAGAAAAAAGTATTATGGGATTATGAGATTAAGAGACCATTTTTAATAGTAGCAACAAAAAATCTTACGCTTTATGCAGTAAAGCAGAAAGAGCAACAGTAGAGTGATCAATATTCCAGTAAACAGCCCAGCAATGAACATCACAAGAGAAGAAGAGCTGCACTCTGAAATCACAAACAAAAATTTAAAAAAATATTTAAGGATTTTAATAAATTATTAAAACAGAACAGTTATATTGTATTCACAACCTCACTCTCCACATACCTGTTTCTTTTCTGAGTGAATGATCTTTGCTGCACTTCACAGTTTGAAATGCAGACTTCTCACTGACATGATTGGAAACTGTGCAGGTGACATTGGTCTCTCCATCCTGCCTGATGATGTATTGTTGTCTGGGACCAGTTAGTGTTTGTTTTCCTACAGTCCACTTGTAGCTGACTTCACCAGTTGTGTTGCACTCCAGCAGAACTTTACATGATTCATTTGAGGAAATCCGGGTAGAATTGATTTTTATGACAGGCTGTTTAGTTATGGGTTCTAATGAGAAAACAGAAGGAGAGAGAGAGTCTGTGTCAGGTCACATTTTACATCACAGTTTAAAGTATATGTTTGTGCAGAGTCCTGCAAATCTATTTTATAAAATTAGGCCAAACATCAACAACTTCAAACAACAACGTTATCAGTCCCGAAGTTTATTAAATTGGGGCAACTACTGTTAACTCCTGTATGAGATGGTCTCATAGTATCTAAACCTAAAAATTAAAAACCACCTCAAAAACAAAACACATAAAAAATGAAGACAAGAGATTAAAACTCAGTCAAATAATGACCACTATATAAATTATGATAAAATACACATTTTATCTGTAAGCTAAAGGATTTGCTACTTGAGGAAAATATATAAATTAAACTATGTCTCTCAGGAAATCAGGAAACAAAACCAGACAAAAAAGATGTGGAGTATAAAAGGGAGGTTGATAAACTATTTCAAAATATCACATTGTATTGTATCAAGATGCTTGTTTACTCAATAAAGTATCTTACCATGAACTTGCAGAGTGATGATGACTGAATCCCTTTGTTTCTCTTTTGTTGCTGAGACAAAAATGAAATCACCTGAGTCTTGAAGAGTCAATTTTCTCACTGTTAAAGTAAAGTTTTCCAGGTTTAGCTCTGATCTGTCTTTAAATGGAGATCTTTTAGAAACACCCATATTGTTTTCAATGTATTTGTCTGCAATTATTATTTCTCCATATTTCCATATTGCCGCAGTCACCCCTTCAGTTGGTAAGCCTGATGAAAGCTCTACAGTATCTCCAACTTTTTTATGAATAACATGTTTTCCACTGGAAGTCTCCACATCTGAAAAACATACAAATACCAAGTGTCATATTTATGAAACGTCAGTGAGGAAAAACAAGACCAAATAGCCTCCAACCTTATTCTCTCCTCTAAAAATGCAAAAATATCAGAATTGAACAATTTTAAAAAATGTGTTTGGTGACTAACATTTAAATATGGAAACTGAATAATATGTGCCTGTCCTGGTGGTAACCAACCAGAGGTGACACCAGAGGTGAAGGGAGCCACCAAGCTGAAGGAGTCCTTGGCTTGATTAGCCTGTGGGGCAGCTTGTAGGTACTGACGGGCCAAGTGGAACGCGGTTTAGCAGTGGCTGAAGCAGTGCTCTACCTGCACTGTGTACAATGTTCCACTTGGCCTGTCGATCAGCACTGCTGACTTCAACTGAGAACATTTTCTGGTGGTGGAAGGAATACTTAAGGACCTCCTTAATCCATCTGGCAAGTCTTCCCTAGAGGAAGCAGAGTCTGCTGAGTGTAAAAGCGCTCAGTTTACTGGTCGATCTACGCCCCTACCCTCACCTATGGTCACGAGCTGTGGGTAGTGTCCTAAAGGATGAGATCACGGATGCAAGCAGCAGAAATGAGCTTCCTTCGAAGGGTGGCTGGCCTCTCCCTTAGAGATAGGGTGAGACGCTTGGCCAACCAGAAGGGACTCAGAGTAGAGTTGCTGCTCCTCCACAGCGAAAGGAGCCAGTTGAGGTTGGTTATGGTTATCTGACAAGAATGCCTCCTGGGTGAGGTGTTCTGGGCATGTCCCACCAGGAGAAGGCCCTGGTGGGACAGACCCAGGCAGACCCAGGCCAGCTGAGAGATATAATCTCTCAGCTGGCCTGGGAATGCGTTGGTGTTCCCCTGGACAAGCTGGAGGAGGTGGCTGGGTAGAGGGAGGTCTGGGTTTCTCTGCTTAGGCTGCTGCCCTTGCGGCCTGGCCCCAGATAATTGGAAGAAGATGGATTGATGGATAGTTCAATCAGCAAGAACAAACTTCCAGACAAGTACTGTTTATTGCTGTGTCTGTTGGTCACATTTAGCCTAAAATGTGATAAATACATTTTTTAAAAAAAGCAGAAAATCAAAAATCTGCTCATGCAGGGCAGCAATGATGCAAACAACACTGCAATTTTGGAGCCACAAGATATAACAGGCCCACTGTTCATGCAGTTATAAATACTCGACTAGGGAGGACACATTTGCAACGAACAGTTAGGACAGTGAACATGAGACTTATTTCAATCAGAAAAACTAATGCTCTTACAATATATAATCTTTAAAATGTTTATTTTTTTCTTTAATGTAGATGTTCCAGTTTTAGAATTTACATATTTTTATGACTTTAAAGCCACCACTACCTTTAGTAATACCACATTTGAGAACCCACAAGAAAAATACACTGCAAGCCTCTTGACATGTCCCTTTCTTAATATGAGAAGCACTCCTGACCTCAGAGTCAGTGAGGCAAACAAATGATGTGAATGAAGTAACTACGATACATACAAATACTGTTTACCACTGTGTCATGTTGTCATGCTCGCTGGGTTGGACCCAGGGTTAGAGTCTACTTGTGTGGTTCCTATTTTTCCTGTGTCATGTTATATCCTCCAGCAGTCTGCATATTAAATTCAATTTTGTTTATAAAGCGCCAAATCACAACAACAGTACCCCAATGTGCTTAAAATTGTAGCGTAAAGACCCTAAAATAAAAATAATAACAGTTTTCCTTCTCTGGTTAAATTCTAGGTGAGTCCAGGTATCTTGGTTTTGTTATATTTATAATGCCTGTCTGATATCTCTGTGTCCTCTTTCCAAGTTTGTTTGCCTTTCTGTCTTTGTGTCAAGTTGGTCTTTCTTTTTCTTCCGGTTTTATTTTAGAGTCAGACAGTGTAAGTTCCTGTTTGTCAGCTCCTGCCTCATGCCAAGTTTATTCTATATATTCTCAGCAGTAAAGCTGCTTTTAAGTTTACTTCTCATTTTTCAAAGAAGAAAGAAAAACTCATGAGCTCACAAGGAGACTTTTTATTAACAGTAATCAAGGACTTTGTTTAAAAAAAAGGGGGAAAAAAAGTCTCTTACCATGAACTTGCAGAGTGATGGTGACTGAAGGCCTTTGCTCATCATTCACCTCTGAGACAAAAGTGAAATCACCAGAATCTTGAAGAGTCAGTTTTGTCACTGTTAAAGTAAAGTCTTCAGGGTTCAGCTCTGATCTGTCCTTAAATGGAGACTCTTTAGAAACACCCACATCTTTGCCTGCAACTGTTGTTCGTCCATATCTCCACGTTGCCGCAGTTACACCTTCAGTTGGTAAGCCTGATGAAAGCACCACAGTATCTCCAACTTTTGTGTGAATGACGTGTTTTCCACTGGAAGCCTTGACATCTGAAAAGCATACAAACAACTGAGTACGATATCTATGAAAGTTTAAGTTCAACATGTGAGTGAACTGGTGAGAGAAACAAGTCCAAATTGCCTGAAACCTTATCGTGAACGTGTGATAGTTAAAGTAAAAACAACAAAATCAGAAAAAACAAAACAAAATAAATCTCTTTACAGAATGTGAACATCATCACACACAAGTGACAACTCTGATATGACTGACTTGGCACAACAAAAATGTAAACATAGCAAAAATGTTTACACACTGCGGCTCCATGAAATGTTTTTAGGTGTTTTTCTGTGGACAAGCATGAATTCATAATGTTGTCATTTTCATATAAATGTGACAGCAAATGAATTTAAAAAATGAAATAAAGTGTCAGAAGCTGTTTCCCAGGAATTCAAAAAATGTCTGTTAAAGGTAATTGTTGATTAGCAGCAGTTAGAACAATAATAAATACTTTAGCACAACCATACTCAGAAATGGCAACGCTGCAGCTATCTGCTGTGTTCTGAACTCACTCATGTACCAGAGTTCATGAGGCAACAAATACAACACGTCACTAACATCTGGAAGCAAAAGGTTTACTTACAGTGGAGACAGACCCAGAGCAGCAGCACAATGTTGTGCACGAAGCTACGATAACGTCGTCCAGCAGCCATCACTGGTACACAGCCTCTGTTTCCTCTTCTCATCTGTCAAACTGTTTCTTTACAAGTAAGCACAGAAAAAAATTACTGAGAGTGGGCGAGGTTACCATCAAAATAGAAGCAGAAGAAGTGGTTATAACCTAGCCTGATGTACACAGATCAAAGCAATCACACACTTAATAATTCAACTATTAGACATTAAAGTTACAGTTAAATAAAATATATTTCAGAGGATTTTTTAAAAACACTGTTAGGTACAGTTACAGAAAGTAGCCTAAATGTTCAAGAGAATCACTATAAAATCATATTTACATCAAACAATAGCCAGTTTTACTCTGCATTAACATTACAAACTCTGCATTTAATGCTACAAACAAGTGTATCTGAGCTAGATGTAGAGGTCAGAGATTAGAGTTTAATAATAACATTTCAGCAGAAATAACATAACCACATCCTGTCATCAGATATTTTAAACTGCTGTCCTAAACTTTATTCACTCCTGCATGTCCACAATAGAGTACAGCATGTACTGAGATAATGAATCGGAGAGTGAGGGTGTTTATTGGTTTGAACTTGACTTAAACATTTAAAGAAGCAGCAGCTTTGCTCTGTCATACAAGAGAGATCATCAAGCACTGGCTGCAGCTGACATGTTTGAGGTGAATAAAGTTGCTTCCACCACAGTCACCACTCTGTCTGTGTGTACTGCACGTAAATACTGATATGCATGAAGAAACGACAGATAAATATTAAAGAACAGGAGGCTGCTCTCTTCAGGGGAAACGTTTCTTCCCCTGAAGAGAGCAGCCCATGATCAATCCTGTTTTTACAGGAAATGGTTTTGGTCTAGAGCGATACTGGTGAAACTTTGTCCAGTGCATTGGCAAATGTGTTAACAGTTTTTAAGTGCTGCTTCTTCATAGCTCTGCATACTATATAAATAGCTCTTAGTGTGGTGCTTCTGTCAAAGTCATCTGTGGTTAGCTGCAACTTTATTTCTCATGGAAGTCAGAGCAAAGTGCTTATCTGTAAACACACAAGCATTAAACATAAGTCATAATGTATCAATCAGATCGCTCTGTGATGCTCACACAGCAGATTAACATCATTGTGACTAGTGATCAATGTGAAAAATGTAGCAGTATTTTGTGTTAGTGATGCTAGCAGTGGTTTTATGGTTGGAAATGTTTGGTTAACAGATCAACGCACACATATCTCACCAATTCTAACTTTGTGCCCAGTACAAATTTGTACTGACTGCATAACAATGTTCATCCACATGACCCTTAGGTTTAAGATATTGGCTTTTTATTTCTATGCCAAAAAAAAGCTGATGGTTATAATGCTCTGAAACATTGTACACAAATCCATTTGTCTCACAGGACAAACTAATTATTTTGAAATATGAAGAAGTGGAGAGAATGACACTGTTTCTTTCTGCTCGTACCACAAACACTCCCTTTCTCTTCTTTCTTCACACAATTTCCGACATCAATTTCAAACTGCTCTACAGTAATTTAAAAATAGTCCTTGATCATTCAGCAGAATCATCTGAGCTGCTCGGAGGCTTATTTCAGGCCTTTCAGGAAAACACTTGTTGAAACCCTGAGACGTCACAGCACCATCTTTGCTAACATTTCAAAAGAGGTCATGCAATCCTGGTTTAAGTAAACTCCAGAGGACAGGAAGTGATCGTCTGCTGCTCTAGGTGCATTACTTAGAGATGCACATCCCTCTTATTCACCATTAATTATGGATTTCTTCTCAGTTGAGGTTACTTTTAAAGTTAGTAACGCCCTTCAGATCACATTTCAGTGTCACACTGCCCCCTGCTGGTATGGTTGTGCCATCTGCTGTTAGAATGGCTTTAGTTTCAAGTTCTGTTAATAAGTAATTAAATGAATCAAAAAACTGTTGCTTCAAAGAATATGATGCAAAATAAGAAAATACAATAAAAGCTTTTGGAGTCCATCATCATAAAAAAGTTTATTTGGGCACATGCACATGTTGGCATTAAAGAAAATGAAATGGAAGACGGTGAGGCTGAGAAAGTTAAATGGGACAAGATGGAAGTGAGGGTGGCACTTAGTAAATTTTGAGTTTTGGAGCAGAGCAGGGCAGCTGGTAAAAACAGAAAAGTAGTCATACTCTCTAGACTAAGAATAGCTCATGATTTAAATTCAACCATTAACCATTAAATTAAACTATTGAGAAACTTAAAAGAGAAATGACAAGAAAATGAAACTGTGCAGCATGTGATGTCTGAATGTAATGAACATAGGAGAACCAGAGAGATTTCCAAGATAAAATACAGAAACAAGGGTCAACAGGAGCTACATTTAGGTATTTTATTGTAGAGGGTATGCATGATGGGATTACACATGGTGAGGTTCTGGCAATGTGTATTACATTTTATCCATAGACTCAATTTAGATGTTTTCTTTAGCTTAAAACTAAAGAGAGGATTACAGTACTTTCAGAAGTACTGTAATCCTCTCTATGGATAAAATGTAATACACATTGCCGGAACCTCACCATGCGACACAGGCGGAAGTAAAGAAAGGAAAGGCGCCATTACTGTTACTGCCCCACGTGTGTTGTTGTGTGTGAGCTGTCGCAGTAACAATGCCTCCAGTTCAGTATCTGAGAGAGTTTATCGACAAGCGACTAACTGCTGCTGCTGAACATTTTCTTGGAGTTTGAAAAAAATGATCGTCCAGTACGAGGAAGAGATCAACCGTTGGCGCAGACTGCTGGATATCACCTGGAAACCCGAAATAAAGCTGCACAGGACAGACATCCCACAGCAGCCTGTCTGTAAGGAGAAGGAGGTTCTCCCCGAGCAGCAGCTCTGGAACCAGGAGAGGAGCTCCAGTCTTGACCAGGAGGAACCAGAACCTCCACAGATTAAAGAGGAACAGGAGGAACTGTGCAGTCAGGAGGTGGAGCAGCTGGGACTGAAGGAGGAAACTGATACCTTTATGGTGACTGCTGCTGAGGAAGGAGACCACAGTGAACCAGAAGCAGGCAGGGAGCAACTCCTCGCTCACAGCTCTGCTGTAGCTGACAGTCAAGAACGCAGATTCAAGATCAAGTAGAAAAAGACACAGAAAATCCCACTATGTCAGAGAGCGTGTGTAACTTTGATAAAAGTAGTAAGTCTTTAAAATGTGATGTGTGTGGAAAACCTTTTAAGTTTAATTATCTAATGAAGAGACATTATACATTTGGGGTGGCTGTGGCTCAGGTGGTAGAGCAGATCAGCTACTGATTATAAGGTCTGCATGTCAAATATCCTTGGGCAAGATACTACGGTAACCCCAAGTTGCCCTCCGATGCGTTCATCGTGGGTGTGAATGTGTGTGAATGTAGATTAATTTGCACTTGTGTTTAGAAGTGCTTGTCTGAGTGGGTGTGAATGGGTGAATGAGGCATGTTGTATACAGCGCTTTGAGTACTCTGGGAGAGTAGAAAGGCACTATATTAGAATCAGTCCATTTACACTAGGCTGGTGTTTGTAATTGGGGCAGATTTCTTTCTTTCTTCAGATTTCTTGTGCAATGGGAAGTCCTCATGCTGATTGTATTGTGAAGTTGTGTACGATCACCTCCAGCCAAATAGGTGGTGGTGACTCCAACATCATCTGCAGTTGGGAAGAAGTAGTAGAAGAAGCAGCATCAGAAGAAGAAAGAGAAGAAATACTGTGGTTGTTATCTTAGTAGCAGTGTGCTCTGCTGGATCATTGACATGATCTGTCAGGACAATCATATATAAGTGCATGAAACTGCGTAAAACTCAAAACACACCTTTTCTCTTTGGCGTTTAACCCAGTGTGAGTTGTCATCTGTGTTAAACTTCTTATCTTTTGTGTGACCCTTGTATTCTTGTTCTCTTATTTTTTTTCTTTTTGTACAACACTTTGGTCAGCTGTTAGTTTGTTTTAAAGTGCTTTAGAAACAAAGTGAAAGTTTGTCTGCATGGATTTTAGTTTTGACAGCATTTCTTAGACCACATTTTTTACAACTGTATATACTTTATATTCTGTGTATTTATTATTTCACTCCTATTGCCTGTTCTTATTGACCTTATCTTCAACGTATGCTGTCTGGTTGCTTGTTAATTGCCCCTTGGGAAATAAAATAAAGTCTTCTTTTTCTGATTCTGATCCTCATTTTAGATTTGACAGCATTTCTAGTACCGGTAGATATTGGCAGATGAGTTAAGGATGAATTTAGGCTGTGTATCATCTCTGTGGGCGTGTCCTGGTTCACCTTAGATTTCCAGATTACATACGATCAATTAGTACTCAATGTTGAGGAAGTACCAAGTGTTAAGGAAAGGCACAGTAATACTACACAGCTGTGAACAACACATATTTCAAAATAAAACTCAATAAAACAGCATTATTAAAATGCATTGTGCTCATATGTAAATTAAACAGATTAATCAATTAATTAATGCATTTATTAAAGACAGTGTTACTGGGCTAATAACATAACACTGTTATGT